CACTTGAGCCACAGCTCCAGTTCTGAGGGGTTTACTGGAGATAAGAGTCTCATGGACTTTCCTGCCCAGGCTGGCTTTGAACCATGATCCTCAGATCTTGGCTTCCTGAGTAGCTAGGATTACAGGCATGAGCCTCTAGCACCCAGCTTGTGAGACTCTTTTTTTTTTTGGTTGGTCGTGGGGCTTGAACTCTGGGCTTGGGCACTGTCCCTCAGCTCTTCTGCTCAAGGCAAAGCGCTCTACAGCTTGAGCCACATCACGACTTCCGGTTTTCAGAGTGTTTTATTGGAGATAAGAGTTTCACAGACTTTCCTGCCCGGGCTGGCTTTGAACTGTGATCCTCAGATCTCAGCCTCCTAAGTAGCTAAGATTACAGGAGTGAGCCACCGGTGCCCAGCTTGTGAGACTCACATCCAATTAATCACCAGAAAAACAGAAATGGCTCTGTGACTCAAGTGGTAGAGCGCCAGCCTTGAGCTGAAGAGCTGAGAGACAGTGCCCAGGCCCAGGGTTCCAGCCCCACAACTGACAAAAAAAAAATTATGTGTGATTCATAAAAAATAAGTTTTTATGTGAAGAAAGTATTCTTATATTTTGTATCTGAATACACTTGTACATCCAGCATTGTAGGATGGAGTGCTTTCAAGTGGTATTCATCCCTCTGTGTTCCTTAAATTCCTAGAGCTTAGGCATGACCTTTGAACTTTGAGCAAGCAGATCCTGAAGTGGTTTTTTTTTTGCTTTGATTAGGCCTATGCTTTCTTTCCCCAAGTTGACCTCCTCTCCAAAGAATTTTTTTTTTGGGCGGAGGTCGGTCGTTGGGCTTGAACTCTGGGCCTGGGCGCTGTCCCTCAGCTCTTCAGCTCAAGGCTCTACTACTTGAGCCACAGAGCCACTTCTGGCCTTTTCTGCTTATGTGGTATTGAGGAATCGAACTTAGGGCTTACATGCATGCAAGGTAAGCACTCTACTACTGAGCCACCTTCCCAGCCCTTAATGTTTTCCTTTTAAACTATTTCAGGAGCTGTACACAAATACCTAGTGCTTGAATTCTCCAAGGCAATATTTCAAAAATTTTTAAATGTGTAAACTTATGATTAAACATAAACACTCATGTTCTGTCATTTAATAGTTTTTACATGTTTAACTTCAGTAAGTAAAAGGCATCCTTAAATTTTTGTCCTCAGAAACAACATGATTGTCCTTATATGGTGAAAACTGTGGAGGGGAACAATTAAGAATTTCATATTTATGTTTAAAGAAATCTAAATGCTATATGGGTAATCCTAACTACTCAGAAGGCTGAGATCTGAGGATTTCAGTATGAAGCCAGCTAGGGAAAGTTCTTGATATTCTTATCTCCAATTTACTTCCTTTGGTGAAAGTGGAGCTGTGGCCTCAAGTGGTAAAGAACATTAGCCTTGAGCAAAAACAGCAGGGGACAGCACCCAGGCTCTGATTGAGCTCTAGCCCCAGGACTGACCGCCTCCCCCCCAAATAAATAAAATCGAAAAATGCTTACCAGGCAACCTGTGTTATAGATAAAGCATGAAAAATAAAAGCAACCTCGCCCAGGTTCTGCAGCTAAGATCTAGCAGTCCTCAATTCAAAGGCAGACAGCTAGCCCCAAGTCCAGTTAGTTCTCTGCCACTATCCCGGCATTCCCTAACCTGAAGCTGTTCTCCCTTTACTTAATTCCACCATTAGCAGTTGTTTGTTTTTTAATTTTAAGATATAAATAAATGAAGAAAATATAACGATGAATACTAAAACTTACTTTCTGGATGGCTTCTTCCATATCCAACTCAAACTGTTCATTCTGTAAGATTCGAAGGAATCTCTTGTGCTCCAGTCGCTCATCATTGTCATTCTGCACCTTCTGGTTCTTGATTTGGCGCTCTATTACTTTCAGTGCTTCTATATTCGATACTCTGGAGTAATTTTCATCTACTAATTTCTGGTGCCTTTCACTAAAACTCAACCTTCTTTTGGGCTCCTTTGCGGCCTAGAATGGGAAAACAAAAGTATGTATACTTCAATGTGACAAATGATACAAAAATAGGCAATGGTAATGGTCTTGGGCTCTCTAAGCCCAGACTATACCTAATTAAAAAAATCAGTATATTGATGTGTCAATTAAATAGATATTAAAAATTCCCGTTTTATAGATGGGACATGGAAAGTAAAATTAAGTTAGAGTGGCTCAAATGGTAGTGCACCAGCTTAGCAAGGACCCAATTTACCCAAGTTCAAACCCAATTTACACAAACACACGAAGTAAAATCTACACCAAAGGTTTAGCAGCTTGTCGCCAGCAGCGGTAGTACAAAGGCAGATCTGTGCAGACCCGGCCTTTTGGGACAACTCTGGAAATGCGCCTGTGCCCCTCCCTACACCTCCCGCCCTCACCTCCCCAGGTCCTCAGGGGACAGGTCAGGTTTCCTAACATAAAATAACTCCACCGAGTTCACAGGACCATGCTCTCCCGCGCTCCGGCTTCCGCTCTTGCGCACAGGTCCCCACGGGACCTATGATTCCGAGGGGAAGGCCAACACAGCGTCCCCAAACCAGCCTCAGAAGGGCACACCAGCCCGTTTCCCGCTGAGATCTCGGACCAGGCATTTCAAATCTCATTCCGAGGCGGACGGACGGTTTGGAGTCCCGGCCCCAGCTCACCTTGGGTGAAGAAACAGTCCTGGCCCGCAGCTCCGCCGCCATGGCTGCCGCCGACCGCGCGAACGCTCCGCTCCTGTTTACGCGGTGTCCTGGCAACGGCACCCGTGAAGCACGCGGCCTCCCATTGGACGGCGCAACATCCAATCGGCACTGAACTTCCTTGGGGCTAGGCAGAGCAGCTGCTTCCATAGGCCTAGGCTCGACGGGCGGGCGGGAAGTTCCCACCGCGTGGCCGGCCCGGGCCTGGGCGGGCTGGGGGCTGGGGGTGAGGGGGGTGTAGACGCCCTCCCTTCCCCCCAACACCCCAGCTGCTAAACCCTGTGGCTCAGGAGCCACGGTGAGCCCCGTGGAAACGGTTTACCAAGAAAGAGTTGAATTGTTAGCGTCCTGCATCCTCCAGGCCTGTTCTGCAGGGGCTGATGGCTGGGAGCCCTGGTCCTGGGCCCTCCTTGCTGGGCATTGTGGGGAACCGGTGAAAGAAACCGCTTTCTGGACCTTATTCTACCACACGGTCCACGTCCTGGGGAGAGCGAAACAGATGCGTTACCCAGTACAGTAATGGGCAGTACAGTCCGTTTTAAATGGAGAAATTTAAACTCGAGAATGGGGATCCCAGGGCTGGGAGGGTGGCTCAGTGGTAGAGCGCTTGCCTAGCATGCATGAAACCCTGGGTTCGAGTCCTCAGCACCACAGACAGAAAAGGCTGGAAGTGGCACTGTGGCTCAAGTGGTAGAGTGCTAGCCTTGAGCAAAAGAAGCTCAGGGGCAAGTGCCCAGGCCCTGAGTTCAAGCCCCAGGACTGGAAAAAAGAAAAGAAAAACAAAAGAGAATGGATCCCAGAAATTAGTCAGACAGATTGATTTTGGAGATGATTCACTTGAGAAATCTTGCCTAAATTAAATTTGGTTTTTGAAAGTTCTTGTCTCTCACATCCTTTTTTTTTTTGGTCGGTGGGGCCTGGGCGCTGTCCCTCAGCTCTTCAGCTCAAGGCGAGCGCTCTACCACTTGAGCTACAGCGCCACTTCCGGTTTTCTGGTGGTTTTATTGGAGATAAGAGTCACGGTCTCTCCTGCCCGGGCTGGCTTTGAACCGCGATCCTCAGATTTCAACCTCCTGAGTAGCTAGGATTACAGGTGTGAGCCACCAGCGCCCGGCTTTCTCACATCCTTTATAACCAGGAAAAAAAAAATCCATGACTTTTTTGGATCCATAGTAGAATTGAGGACAAAGACTAAAGCTAAAGCAGCAGCACTCTGAGATCTGGAGAAAAAGAATCCAGAAAGTACCAGGCAAAAATCTACTTGGCAGAGAAGAGAAGGCCTGAACTCGTGGGAGCAGTTGAATGTTGATTTTGAGAAGATGTTATGGGTTGAGTGGGGACTAGATTGAGAGAAACTACCTGGGCACAATCTGAAGGAGATCCCTAGCTTTACACACACATTGAATCTCTACAGACTCCTCTATACTTCCAAAGGAAGTGTATGATACCAGAGCCTAACATATCTGACTTCTGACTCCTCTGTCTTTCCTGTAACAGCTCAGTGGGAAAGGGAGTTAAGACCATTTTATCTATAAACCTAATACTCCAATTTTCCCTCACTTCTGCTTTAGCTGATTTTGATATTTTGTATTTTTACATGCATTTTAAATGTTCAAATTTCTTTCATCTTTGATCTATTCACAAGTGTTTTTTACTAACTTTCCAAATTTAACAGATTATCCCCTTATATTTTTTACTTCTACTTTAATTTCACAACAGTCAAAGAAGATACTTCATATAGCTTTACAGTTTTCTGGTGGTTAATTGGACTTTCCTGCCTGGGTTGGCTTTGAACCTCCATCCTCAGATCTCAGCCTCGTGAGTAGCTAGAATTACAGGCATGAGCCACTGGTACCTAGCTTCATTTTTCTTAAGCAGTAAGATCCAATTGATTTGTTGGCAACCAAATGAAAAATGGCTCTGTGTGTGTGCGTGTGTGCGCGTGCTGGTCTTATGGCTTAAGTTCAGGTCCTAGTTGCTGTCCCTGAACTTTCTTTTTTTTATCAAGGTTGGCACTCTACTACTTGAGCCATAGCTCCATTTCTGGCTTTTTGGTAGCAAATGTTTTTAAGAGTCTCACAGACTTTCCTGCTTCAAATCTCAGCCTCCTGAACAGCTAGGATTACAGGTGTGATCTACTAGCAACCACCTGACAAATTATTTTGCAAAGATTCAAGTCAACCTTCTCTCCTGAAATGTTACTACTTGCACAGGAGACATCTAAATCATACCTACATATTTTTGTTAAGAAAATATTTGGAACTGCCAGGTGCTGGTGGCTCACGCCTGTAATCCTAGCTACTCAGGAGGCTGAGATCTGAGAATCTCGGTTCAAAGCCAGCCCGGGCAGGAAAGACGGTGAGACTCCTATCTCCAATAAACCACCAGAAAACCGGAAGTGGCGCTGTAGCTCAAGTGGTAGAGCGCTCGCCTTGAGCTGAAGAGCTGAGGGACAGCGCCCAGGCCCAGAGTTCAAGCCCCACGACCAACAACAACAACAACAAAAGAAATATTTGGAACTTAAAGACAGTTCATTAATCAAATATTCAAAGTACCTCGACTCACCAATATAAAGATTATCATTTTATCAGGCAGTTAAATATACCAATACCGTTTGTTTCTTAGAAACATGCAATTAATATTTCAGAATATTATAAATATAAGTGACAGTTTAGCTACATTAATGATCTGGATTCACCAATATTTGTTTAGCCTGGACATAATAAAGCTTACCAATATAATAAAGGGACAAAATCAGGCAGGTCAGACAGAAGCTATGGAGCCAGTGAGACAGAAGGTGAATTTTTAAGGGACAGGTGTGACATGGATTGAATGGGTGCAAATCTAAGCAGCAAATCTAAAGCCAGCAAATTCAATAGGATTCTGACCAGGTAGAGCTGGTGTCCTTCTTGGGCAGAGTATTTGCATGGGTATGGACAAAAGGAACAAGTAGACTTAGCAAAAAAAAACCCCTCTCATATTAAGGTAATGGCATCCTAACAAGGAGCAGGTGCAAAGGCAATATATGATAGTGATCTATGGAGGACCCTGGTGAGCACTGTGAGGAATGTAGTCTCTGTAGTGAGAATGGAGACTGGAAATAGGTCTACGGTAATGAATTCAATGAATAATAATAACTCCTAATAACAAAACAGTAACATTGCAAAGCATTTGCTTTGACTCTAAAGGGAATGTAAGTTATAGCTCCTTATTTCCAATCTATCTGTGGGAATTACAGAAGGATTTTGACAATTGAACAGGTAGGCTTTCCAAGGAAAGGATCTTGGAAAGAGAAGCCTAGCTATTATTCTATTTTTAAAGTTAATAGATGTCTAGGACAGATTAAAGTTTACAGGAAAACTGGAATACACTGAATTTTCCTAGCTCCCAGTTTGCCCTATTATTTGCCTTACACATCAGTGCAGGACCTAAATTATTGCTGCTGATACATCGCAGTCTGGGGTTTACATTACAGGTTGCTGCTGTTGGTTCTCTTCAGTTCTAAAGTTTTGATAAATGCATAATGTCATGTATCTGTCATTACAGTATCATCTGCGATACTTTCAGTATAGTGGAAATCCTCTATGCTCTATCAATTTATCCCTTCTTTCCTCTCCAGTCTCAAAGCCTTGGGAACCATCGGCCTTGCTCCCACCTCTTCTACACTCCTGCTTTTTCCAGTCATATATTTGAAATAATAGAGTAGGTAGCTTTTTCAGCCTGGCTTCCTTCCTACAGCAATACGTATTTCTTACGTTCCTTCCAATTTTGTGTGTGTGTGGTTAGATAGCTCATTTATTTTTTACGACCGAGTAATATTCCATTGCATGGCACTTTACAAAATACTCATTACATTTGAAGATTATTTCTAGTTATAAGTTATTTTTGTCACAAATGGTGCTTATTGTTACGAAGAGATTTGTGTCCTTCACCAGCATGAAGGTGAAATCTTTGGTTCATTTCCCTTTGGAAAATGGCTTTTTACTTAGAGATATCTATTAAAGGTCTAAAGTACAGAAGAGAAAGAAATTTTCTTAATAATAAAGGATGAGATATTGATGAATGTTTTCCAAAAGTGCTAACACAACAGGGCTGGCCATATCAGAGTTGTTGGCCTTATCTAAAGAATGTTAGTAGGTATATAGTACAACTTGTTTCTAGACTAAACATTCTTTCCAAAACTTGTATTGCTTTATACAAGGAAGCAATTAAAACAAAGCCATTTTTTCCTCTTTCATTCAGAAAAATGCCCCAATCTAATCTAATTTCCTGCAGCTGGACTCCACCTGCAGATGATGGTTTAAGTGCTCTGAACATCACACACTTATCTTTTACATATTGATAATGCCATTTTTCATTTCCTCGACATGAAATCCCACAGGGAATAATTATGCTAATAAACCTTAATGATTCTTGCAAATAAATGATCAAACCAAATTGCTACTGTTGATTTATATTAATGGATGCCTTTAGGATGAGATTTGCCAGTATGGCACTGCTTCTTGAATCTCAATTTATCTTATTTAGCTGGAGACTGTACAGAGTTTGCTAAATGGATGAAGTGTTTCAAATATAATGTGTTTGTGCAGTTTTTGCACTTCATAATGTTCAAGCATTACCATTGTGCCTTGTGGCAAATCTTCCCTTAATGGTTTCATTGGAGATGACTTCCTTTGACTTTTAATCTGTCCTATGGCAGCTGAAAGGCAAGACTTTCTAGTTGGTTCAGAATCAGTCAGTTTCCATGTGCTGAAATCGGATTAACTCATGAAGGCAAATACAATCTGTTCCAGGAGATTTGACAGCCATAATCTGGAATTCCAATTGACTGTAGGATTCTGTGTCCACATGTTATATTGTAGTTTGAAGGGCAAAAGGACATGGAGAAATGGCTCATCTGTCACTAGATTAGTGACACGGCGTGGTGGCTCTCACAGTCTCTCTTGTTCTTATATCCTAACCCAATCTGCAAGGTTCTAAATTCTAAAATAGTATTGGAAAAGAATGATGCAATTGTTTGACCTTTATTTCTGGGCTTGGGAAATTCTACATTGCTTCCTCCCTCAAAAAAAAATCTTAGATAAACTTACGGGACATCTCCCTCAGTGTCTGAGGCATCTCTCTACCCTATGTGCTTTTCTCAACCATTGAATCAAACAGACACTTGGGAGTATTTTCACCTGACTGTCCCAGGCTTCCTGACGAGTATGGCCTAGTGAACCGAAGGCAGCACTCTTTCCCAGGCACACTCCACTCTTTCATCCCATTAATGACCATAAAAAATATACATTAACGGTGTGCCATAGACCTCTAACACTACATACAATCAAATACGCAATGTACTGATAAAGCATGTATGCTTTACATAGCATTTATAGAATAATAATTACTAATTGAATATCCAGTACTAGTTGGTTTGTGTCTGTATCAAGAATAATTACATTTTCTCAGAGGCCAAGATTTCCTCATTTTGGAACTATA